TTTCTTTCTTTCTTTCTTTCTTTCTTTCTTTCTTTCTTTCTTTCTTTCTTTCTTTCTTTCTTTCTTTCTTTCTTTCTTTCTTTCTTTCTTTCTTTTAATTAAAGACTTTCCTTAAGTGATTTGCCAAGGAGTGGCAATAAAAGTTTTAGTCAATAAAAGTTTTAGAATTCCAAAGGACCTTACTTATATAACAAACCCCACGGGACATCATCTTTAATATATTTATATATAGTGGTCAGTCATGGGGCCTGAACTCTGGGCCTGGGTGCTGTCCCTGAGCTCTTCAGCTTAAGTGTAACACTCTACCACTTGACCCATAATGCCACTTCTGGTCTTTTCTGCTTATGTGGTGCTGAGGAATCAAACCTAAGGCTTCATGAATACAAGGCAAGAACTCTACCACTGAGCCACCTTCCCAGTCCCTACCATAACTTTAAAAAAATGTTTTAGCATAATAATAAAATATTTTTAAAAATGGAGTGCTTTCTAACGGATTTTGGTAGAGATATTCTATTAGAATGTATTCTAGGTATATTTATGTTGTAATATAATGAGAGGTATCACAAAGTAAAAGGTATATATGTGAGGGGAACCCTCAAAACTAAAAGGTAATCAAAGAGAGTGTGGACAGGCTTGTTAGGACCCAAGGAAAAATCTTCAAGTTTGAAAAGATTAGGGAGAGGTCCTAAGAAATAACCTAAATAATAACACTTGTACTATTTCTTTTTTCATAACTGCCTCAGTCAACTGGGAAGCCTTTAGTAAAATAAAATGTCCAATTCAAAGAACAGGAAATCAGTTCTCTGACCCTATTGCTTGAAAAGAAGGCATAATGTGTGTGTGTGTGTGTGTGGTGTGTGTGTGTGTGTGTGTGTGTGGTGTGTGTGTGTGTGTGTGTGTGTGTGATGTGTTAATGGAGACTGACTAGGGGCTCACAAATGCTAGGGTGACACCTTTACTTTAGTTATCCAATGGCAATTTTTATATTCTGTTTGTAGCCAAGGCTCATATTGTATCTCAGGCTGGCTTCTAACTCTCCATCCTACTAGCCCTAACTCTTGATTGGGAAAACTGGGATTATAGGCATAAACCAACCCACACAACTTCTAACAATTGTTTAAAATGAACATTTCTCAGGGAGAAATGCTTTAAATTTCAGGACTTAATGAAGCTGGAGTCAGTGGAGTTGATTTGTATACCATGCCTTCTCTTTCTTCCCTAGTTTTCATCACTAGCCACTTGAAGCCTCAGTTCTTTCTATAGAACACAGATAATACAGCTCCACTTCCTGTTTCAAGAGGCCATCGTTGGGCTCTAGTGAGGTGATAATGTAAACTTTGTGACCCCTAGATACTATACAGCTATCATTATATGTAAGCATATAACTGTACAGAGTGCCCCATCTTACATCATTATGTTCACTCTTTAGAACAGTTCTGTCCCATCACTTTGGTAATTTTAATGATGATAAGGTAACAGACGATCATTATCTTGATAATTTTTCAATTTGTGACTGCAGGCAGAATTTTGATATACACCCAATTCTAAAATTATTTTCCATAATACCCTATTTATTAATTGTGGCACTTCCATACTGACTATAGTATGCTTAAATGGAAGATTAGAACCATTTTTTTATTGTGATATATATCCTGAAGCATTGTTGTCATGTATAAAAGTTGAAAGTGTATTCTAAAGAAAGTGTATTCTAAAATCTAATCTTAATTCTCTCTAACTTGGGGTTAACTAGGAATGAAAACATCATGAAAATTAAAAATGGATGTTGGTTTCAAATTCAAGTCATTCGAAGTAGATAGCAGTAAAATGCATTCCAGTGAGTTGCTGAATGACTTACTTTAGAGTATTGATATGTGGCCTTTAATGTATAATCAATAAATCATTTTCATAATAAATATTCAAGATTACTACTTTAAAAACATATTTTTGTCTGAAGAAAATGTGCTATCTCTATATGCACTATACTTAAAATATTTAAATTTTTTAGCAGTTTACACACCTATCTTTGTGTACATTTGTGTGAGTATTTACAAGCATGTACCTACATAATAACATCTGAAACTAACCAAACTTTGAAATATGGTATCTGGCTAGAGAAAGATTTTTTTTCCTGCATTTCTCTAGAAAGAAAGAAGAAATAGAGAAATTAGAACTGAATAACATTAATACCTAATAATAACATAAAAACATCATTCTCTGAAACAATATGTTAAACAAAGGATATATTCATAGCTTACCACTATGTTTCTAGATATTTATCTTTTTGGGGGGGGAATGTAGATCTATAAAACACTCTGAATACTTTAATGAATAATTTAAGTAAATGGTTGTTATTTATTTTCAGATTTCTCTTAATAAAACCAGTACTGCAGAAGGCTACCATGTTCATATTAGTCAAAATTGTGTTGGTTTCTACTTTGTTTATTTCACTACCCTTTGGGAGCCATGAGAAACAAAATGTAGTAGCAAATACAACCCGAAGTATTGCAGACTTTTTGGAAACAATGGAAACGAAATCATATTCTTTGAAAGGAAAAGTAAATGCAACTTCAGAGAATGAAAACAGAAATAATTTTGATCCCAAGGCAGGTGATGATTCCCGCTGGAAACTATTCTCAGCCAATGAAACAACAAATGCTACCAGTAACTCCTCAGTAGACAACTTTACTGTGAGTCCAGGAACTCCACCTACATTTTCTGCAAGCTCTTCCATGATTCATGGCTTTGCTACTAAGTTGCCTTTGAACTCATCTATATCAAGTAAACATCTTTTGTCAGCCTCAGCACAGATGAATTCTACAGAAACCGTATCATCAGGAAACTTCAATTGGTCTCTGAACAATTTCACAATGAAAACTCCTGACAATATTTCTGCCACAACTGGCGTACTATTCCCAACACCAGCTACTAATTCTGTGACCCCCTTGACAACAGAACCAACCAGATGGCTTACCACAAGCAATTACACCTTCTCGGGTTTTACCCCCTATCAAGAAAATACAACGCTACAGCCCACGTTAAAATTCACCAATAATTCAAAACTCTTTCCAAACACATCAGACCCCCAAAAAGGTAAAAGATGATGTAAAATTATGGGGTGTTGATTCTCCAAAGAAATCACATAGATTAAGACAAAGGAATGTACCATGCTTAGAAAGTAGGGGAGAATGCTGTAGTACCAGTAGTTCTTACTGTTGGGCAGGTTAATTACATTAACCTGAGAGAGTAAATTAGCTTTAGGGATTAATTGAGCATTTGCTAATATTAATTGAGCATTTACTAATCATTACCTAAGAAAGAAGGCTCTTGGACAAATGAGGGGTTAGATTGGCCAAAGAAGGCAGTGGTAGATTTCTGAAATGTTAGAAATATTCATTTCCACTGACTCAAAGACTTAAGAATTTCACATGTTTACTACTAAATAACTGAATATTAAAAATATGTATATGAGTTTTGAAAAATTAATGAAAATGAATACATTTTAAAAATTACCTGTTCACAAAGCAATTGAAACAATAGTGAAACACATATTTTAAAAATTAGACAAGCACAACAAAAGGAAATCCCTTATTTCTTTTAATACCTGATAAAATTACATAAATTGAGTTATATTTCAAGGTAAATTGTTATATGCTTATTTGTATGTTTCACTTAGGGGTTATACCAAACTTTGAAACATAAAATGATAAATATCTAATATCTGGTAAGTTATTCATTATGTTTTTTAGATTTTAGGTCTTGTCATTTTTGAATACTTAAAATGATTTTATTATCTTTTAACTACCATTTCTTCCCCAGAAACTAATTTTGAATGTATTTCTTAGAAAAAAGGAAGAAAAAAAGAAAACACCAAGAAGTTAAAAATAATATATAATAGAAGGTATCTTGAGCTCAGAAAAAAAATTAAGCAGTTTATGGATAAACTAATTTTTCACAAATCCTGAGTACTTAAAAAATACACAGTTGCTGGGCACTGGTGACTCATGCCTGTATTCCTGTATTCCTAGCTACTCAGGAGGCTGAGATCTGAGGATGGCGGTTCAAAGCCAGCTCGGGCAGGAAAGTCTGAGAGACTCTTTTATCTCCAATAAACCACTAGAAAACAGGAAGTGGTGCTGTGGCTCAAGCGGTAGAGTGCTCACCTTGAGTAGAAGAGTGCAGGGATAGCTCCCAAGCCCAAAGTTCAAGCCCCATGACCGAAAAAAAAAAAACACAGTACACACACCAACATGTACATGTCACCTTTGTCTAATTTAAAATGAATTATTAATCATTATTGGTTATATAAAATGTCTACATGCACGTATATACATATCATTTTTGAATAATTATTATCTATGTCTTGTGAATTTTTTTTTGTCTTCTAGAGAATAAAAACACAGGAATAGTATTTGGAGCCATTTTAGGGGCTATTCTTTGTGCTTCATTGCTTACTCTTGTTGGCTATTTGTTATGTGGAAAAAGGAAAACAGACTCATTTTCCCATCAGCGGCTTTATGAGGATAGAAATGAACCAGGTAAGAACTACTTTTAGAGCGTCTCCTGGACACATTGGTTTTTTTCCAGAAGGGAGTTACATGACACAAAACAATTTTCTCAAAGAAAAAAAATTGGAAAAGCAATTATCTATGTGTGATTAAAATTTAAAACCTACTAATGACTATTTTTCCCTTTCCTTTATTTATTTTTTCTTTTTTATTGTTATAAAGATAAAGTACAGAGGGGTTACATTTATGTAAATCAGGTAATGCATTCATATCTTTCTTGGACTGTGTCACCCCTTCACTAATAAGTCTTGTTCATTATAAAAAATTGGTTTTAAATAATAATTCCAACATCCAAATATATGCATACAATTGGAATGTAATTATATAAAATTGTGGAAAAATAGCCAGTTTTGTTAAAAATCTGTTAGAAAGCCATTCTTTATTATTGTAAGATCTGTGAGTAGCAATAACTTGAAGAAATATTTTATTCTAATGTGCAAATCTTCCAGTATATATATATATATATATATACACATACAGTAGTCTCATTTTAACCACCTTAATAACACTGTAAAACAGAATAGCTAATATATGCATATGTGCACACATAAAGGCACAATACACTTCAACTCAGGAACTTTACCCTCATGCGAAGGAAAAAGCCAGCTATAAAGTCTACAAAGGAGATATCTACACACTAAAAATAAAGCAAGAGTCTGATCTGTAACAACATGCAAAAAGAACAGAAATAAAATTGCTTCAAATGCTTGTCTTATCTTTCTCTTCATACTTTAGGGTATCATCTATTTACTTGTTTGCACAAGCAATTTTCCTACCATAACAAATGTTAACTGCCTCCAATGATAGGATTCTCACTGAGTTTTGATGAGTTCAGTTCATCCCTGGCATTTTATTTATATTCAGAACCAAATCCATTAGCTGTAAATAATTCAACAGAATTTTGCTTATGAGTTTTAATAATCCATATACAAAAAGTGTGACACTTTTCAAAGTTAAATAAAAGGATTTCTAATGCTTCTAAACATTTTTAACTGTGAATCTTTTCTTGTATATGTACCACCAAACAAAATATCAATCAGATATCATGGAAGCAGGTATGATAGATGTGTAGGGGTTCAGGAAAACTTTGAGACATCTCTCCAAAGTTGTAGTTTCTAAGTAGATGATTTAAGTAATTGCAGGTAAAAGCATGATGAGACCAAACAAAAATAATTAGGCTATTAGCATAATTAATGATTAGTCACTGCTTGCAGTAATTTTAGATATTTAAAGTATGCTTATATTTTCTTTGAAAATGAATTCAAGATCTTAAGGAAATATTTGACTGTTAGTAAACAACAACCACAACAACCACATACAACTTGTATTAGAAAATCTTAAGTACATGACAACTTGTGCCAGCCAAAAGAAACAGAACCCATCAAATAGCTTTCTTCTAGGTCTACTTTAAATGGCTTGGCTATCAAAATATTGTATTAGTAAAATAATAGCAGTAGATTTGCAAAGCTCTCATGTTTTTATGCTCTCAAATTTTAAGAAATCATTTTTAACAGCAAAATTAAAAAATTCTGAACATGTTCGCAAGTGTTGGCAATCACAAGATTCCAAAGTAAATGAGGCATATGTTGATATTTGCATACACAAAGTATTAGAGCATTTTTTTTGTGATTGTTCCCTTTGTTCTTTGATTTTGAGTCTGTCAGCAGTGAAATAAATAAAGTAAGCCAGTAAGTAAATAAGTACTTAGGTTTGAACTTAGGCTATGACTTGAGTCACATCTGTAGCCATTTTGCATTAATTATTTTTCAATAGGTTCCCATTTCTACACGGGCCATCACAAACTACAATTGTCTGATACACAATTACCTGTGTAGGTGTGGGTGGGATAACAGGCATGTACCACTATGCTTGGCCATAAGGGATGTCCTGAACTTTGGATTGCCTTCGAATCCGGAGCCTCTCAATCTCTGCCTTTCAATTAGTACTGATTAAAAGCATGAGCCACAGCACCCTGGTCAGCAGTGATAGTTTAGATGTACCAACGTTCTCTTACAAATAGAAATAAATGTTGCCTGAAAAATCTATTTATTTAAAATTTCAAATGTGGTATCTGAAGAGCATGTGTAAGAGATGTCCCTACTCAACCATCTTCAATAATTCCTATAATCTGATAATTACCAGATTCCTGCACACAACTTTCAGATTCACAAAAAAGCATGCTTATATTTATTTACTAACTCAATTTTTTTTCAGTGCTGCGATTAGACAACTCGCCAGAACCTTATGATGTGAGCTTTGGAAATTCTAGTTACTACACCTCATCTGTGAATGGTGCACCACTGTCAGAAACCCGAGAAAATGCGCACGATGGCATTCCTATGGATGACATCCCTCCAGTTCGTACCTCAGTATGACACTAAGGTCAGAAGTACTGCAGAGGCAAGTGTTTACCCACACCCTGGCATTGAGCAAACTCTTCTTCCAGGACAACCACTGTCATGGACAAAGGCAAGGAGATCTGCAAAAGCATGAGACTAATCTTGGAAAACAAAGGAACTAAATCGTCAAAAGTTTTCCTTTCTTACAACTTCTGGCTGAGAGAAAGCACCCATGACCTAACATAATTTCTATCTTGGCTTATTTTTGTCTTAGTAGTAGAACTTTGTGGAATCAAGTATGGCTAAAAAAGACATCACATGTTATCACTGCCTGATAAATTTCAGAATTGAAATCTTCAACAACTGGGAACTCAAATAATATTTTCACATTTTTTTCCCCTAACATAACCCAATGCATTGACTCTTTAACTGATTTGCCTGTATCCACCAAACAAGATTAACATTTGCTTGAGGAAAAATTAATAATAAAAACAGTTTTACAGCTAGAAAGCTGCTAGGGTCCTGGGTTTCTGCCACTGAGAAATTAAGATAATAGGAATAAGAGACATCTATGACCTTCATTTTTCTTTTCATTAGCACATACATTGCCAGTCTACTGTGCTGCTAAGGTAATAAGAGCATGCAAGAATACCATTGTAGGGAATTTGACACTGGCAAGATGTCATATCTTCCCTAAATGGAGTATTCCAACTAAGCTGAAAATACATATTTTCCCCTCTGTCTCTGTCTTTATCTCATTCTGTCTCATTCACCCTATAAATATACATACATATATACATATATATGTATATCTGTAATTAGGTTTAAATTAATTCCTAAAAACTCAATGAAAAACATGGTGATGAATATATTCATATACATAATTTATATGATTTTAACAAGTTAGATGAAAATAAGGCTTATTATATATTGACAGTATTGTGTGCTTAATACATGGAATAAATTCTACATTTCCAAGATTATGGGCTTGAACATTTAAAAGAGATAAATAGAATTATTAAGCAAATGAAAAATTTCTGGTTATCACTTTTGCAAGAAACTTTTTTTTTGTCAGTTGTGGGGCTTGAACTCTGGGCCTGGGCACTGTCCCTCAGCTCTTCAGCTCAAAGCTAGAACACTTGAGCCACAACACCATTTCTGGTTTTCTGATAGTTTATTGGAAATAAGAGTCTCACAAACTTTCCTGCCTGGGCTGGCTTTGAATCACGATCCTCAGATCTCAGCCTCCTGAGTAGCTAAAGTTACAGGAGTGAGCCATTGGCACCAACTTAATCTGAATTTTCAATTTGTTTAAAATTATCACCTGTCTCTGACACAAACACTCTAATTCTTAGTGTAGGAAAGTCTTGACCTTAAAGGTTAGAGAGTTAGGCCAAGAGTTAAATTCCCCCGAAGTAATGAATTTATGAAGAGAGTATAACAATGCAAGTGCTAGCCTAGAGACTTTTTGCACATACATGTGTGTGCATGTGTAAAGTAACACAGAAATATCCTTAACAAATAAGAGATAGAAAGTACTGAAAGAACATGCTTACCCCATATTGCCATAAAAATAGCAAAGAAGACTGTTCCTCCATTATCAAATAAGTATGTCACCTTAATGGAAAACATAAAAATATTAATCATGTGAGTAATTATAACAATCCAATGTGAAATCACAGTATTTCATAGATTGTAAATATAGTTGATGGATCCTTCCATGGGCCCAGCAACTGTTTAATGTGATTGTTACACAGGAAAAAAAAAATGAGAGAATGACAATGCTCTTTTTTCTTCCCCCTAGTTTCCTTTGCACTACAAATTCATTTCAGTTTAGAAGTTTTTCTAGTACCCCAAGGAAGTATTTTTGGACCACAAATGTCCAAACAATAAGATGAAATGAAGGAATTAGCTTTTCAGGGGGAAAAAATATATGAAGTTGAATTTCCTGTTAGCCAAACTTCTAGGAACATGGAACATACAAAATTTGGAGATTTGCTAGTGAGCTATCGCCTGCATTAGAAAGGTACCACAGCACTATTCCCACACTCTCATGATTATAACAAATGTCCAATAGTGCCTTATTACATCTAATATCTTTCATTGTGCGTTGTTGTAAGAAGTTCCATAATCACTGAAGTGTTTTTTTTTTTCTTCTTTTCTTTTTTTTTCATTGTTACCTGAAACTTGATAAATAACAATGTACAGTCAGGCAATGCTATTGAATACAACTTTCAGAATTGCAAGTATTATTTGATTTTAATAAAATCCATATTAAATAAAATTCAATGTGCTTTTGCGTGTTTTAATTTGCATAAAATTTTCACTATATTTATACATTTGTGAGATTCAACTAATTCAGCCAGTGCAAGAAATATTTAGCACAAGCACAAATACAATAGAAACTAGAGTAGTCTGTAGTCTTCCTTTATCCGTTGGGAATAGTTTCCCAGAACTTCAGTGGATATCTGAAGTTTTGCAGATAGTTCCAAGTCTCTCTCTCTCTCTCTTTCTCTCTCTCTCCTGCTTTTTCTTAATATATAACTCTGATACATAAATTTGACCAAATAAGAGCTTAATGACAGTATTCAAATGGAATAAGAATAGCAATATATTGGAAACCACATAATTCATGTAGTCCTTCTCTGAAGAATATACTTACTCTTCTTATGATAATGTGGGATGATACAATGTCCATATGGTCAGAAGAAATGTGATGAATGAAAGATGGTTGTGAGGTTGCATAAAATTGCCTCTAAGTAAGAGTTTCTTGAACATGAGTACTGTACTACTAAGAATGTAGATTTGATACTGTGTATACTGCATGTCTCAATGTGCCTGTCTAAAAGGAGATTCACAGTCCAGACAGAACACTGGAATGGCACAAGATTTCATCATGGTGTACAGAACATCATACAGTTTATGACATGAATTTCTGCTCATTTCGTTACTGTGCAGAGTGCAGTTATGAATGCAGCTAAATAAGACCATGGAAAGTGAAACTGCAAGTGTGAAACTGGTGGCACATGTCTATAAACCTCCTTCCTCAGGAGACTGAAATTTGAGAAGGTTTCGAAGACAGCCTGGGCAGATAAAGGCTTTGAAGCACCTTAATTAATCACCAAAAAGACAGAAGTGGAGCTGTGGCTCAATGGTAGAGTTCTAGACTTGAGCAAAAAGCTCAAAGACAGCACCTAGGCTCTGAGATCAAGGTACTGAAGGGGATAAAAAGTGTAACTGTAGACAGAGGGTGATAACCATGTAGAGAAAACATGGGAAGGAGGGTGAGGCCAACTGAAAGTTCAGTGGGATCCCTTGCTCAGAGTGCTGACTGGAACACTAAACACTAATAATGATCATTGTAATTGGAACTTCTGCTTTTCCATAACATAGAATTATTTAAAATATCATCCTAAAAAGATATGTTCCTTTGGAAGACCTGTGGGTAGATATAAAGTATCCTACTATGACTGTAAAATTCTCTATCAAAGCTTGAGAGTTCTAAAAATGTTGTAAGTTGTTTTTCAGAGTATTTGTCAGCATCTTTTATGTACAAGAGAGAAAAAAATCTTAAAGAACTTCTGCAGAGCTCATAAAATTACCCCCCCCCAGCAGGGGAATCGAGATTCTTTGTGTGCAAAGACACCCCACAGAGACACCTGAGGCTTCTCAATTGTCAAACAGCTGTTGGTTTTCCTTTTTGAACAAGCAGAGTATTGGAAATGTCCCTGCAGTGATAGGACTGAGACTTCACCTAGGTGGCTATAAAGGTCATTAAGAAATGGTATCTCTTTCCTGCTTCAGAAAAAAAAAAATGTCTATAGAAAAGTAGCAGATAGGGCTGGGAAGGTGGCTCAGTGGTAGAGTGCTTGCCTTGCATGCTCAAGGCCCTGGGTTCGATTCCTCAGCACAACATAAGCAAAAAGAAAAAAGCTGGAAGTGGCACTGTGGCTCAAGTGGTAGAGCGCTAGCCTTGAGCTGAAGAGCTGAGGGACAGCTCCCAGGCCCAGAGTTCAGGCCCCATGACCGGACCCCCCCCCCAAAAAAAAAAAGAAAAGAAAAGTAGCGGATAAAGAGCCACATTGAACCATTTTGTCCTGGTGGACATGATTTGTCACAGTTTGTTGACTTTTGGAGCAATTTGCATGTTTTCTTTCTTTGTAAAATTCATTTAGAAATCTTTCAGGAATGTTTCAATAAATTTACACACTCCTTTAGAAAGTCATCTATTAGTTTTACTGTATAGAAAATATTCTTATAACCCGAGATTATATAGCTGTAATGAAAGAGAAAGCTATAATGAGGGTTGGAGAAGACATTAGTACTTTACCTAATCAAGGGTACCAAAAATGTAAATCATTGTCTATAGATTTTCTAATACCTTACACATGGGATGTAGCAGGATATTGGAGATGACAGACATTGGACATATTGGAGACAGTTATTTGGGAATCTGTAATGATAAGTTAAGTTGTTAAGAGCTTCATTTAGGGCACTGAATTGAAAAGGGAAGGAGACAGCAATAATGGAGTCCATCACAATGTGGATGACTCAAATTTCCATCAAAAATAATTGGCAAGAGAACAAAATGAGAGTAAACTTTCTTTTTCATAGGACAAGAATAACTGCTGTGCTGAAGGAACCCCAGATGAAAATTTTGAGGCAGTTCCACAAGCAGCATGAGAGACTCTTACCCAAACAAAAGGTGGTTTGCAACAAAGAAATATCTTATAAATATGTTAAAAACAATAGCAAGAAAGAAAAAAAAATTTGAGTCCTTAACTGGGGTTCATTTCACCTAACATCAACTTATCTGACCATTTCTGCTTGACTCAGACATATTCTAGTTATTGAAAATATGGGAAACTGTGAGACCTATGTTTCTTTGGGCCTGGCTTACTTCACTTAATAGAATTTTTTCCAAGGCGTTCCATTTCCTAACACATGGGCAATGCCATTCTATCTGATGGAGGCATATAATTCCATTGTGTATATATACCACATTTTCTCGATCCATTCTTCTACTGAGGGGCATC